GCAAGCAATTATGTTGCATGTTCCTTTAAATGCAAATGAGCTCTCTAGGGTCACTACCCCTCTCTTCTGAGCCGCTCTCTGAGAGACTGTAAACTTTAGCCACATTCATCGTGAAACTTGCTAACTAGCACATTACTAGGAAAGGCGATTTGCAAAGATTCATACAAAAAAAAAAAACATATACTCACTTCTGTAGGTGAAGCTGGATGATTTGCGCAAACTTATACACATTTAGGTAGATCGGGGGCGCATTCCCTTCAGAAACAAATGAAACCATTTCAGCGGCTCAGATGTCGGGTGTAAATGACAACTGCTATATTCATTATTGCATCCAACAACAAAACGCCTCAATCGCTTAGAAGATATTCTTGTCTACTCATGCTCCGCCTTCGAAACAATGGCGGACTGATGACAGCTCACTCAGGGCAGAGTTGTGATAAAACCAAAGACTGACGCCACTGTCAATCAACAACCGTGGGAGGGGCCTGTTCAGAACTACGTCATTCTGCCAATAATCTGAGATCGGCTTGATATGAGAAAGGGGTTCGGACTTATTGAGATTTTTAAAAAAGCACCGGGTGGATTTTTATCATTATAGGGTGGTTGTGTACAGACACTGCCAACACACATTTCCGTTCAATCAACATGTAAAAGTGAATTTTGCATCCGATGACCCCTTTAAGGGTGAATGTGGTTCCTAAAGACAGCAGTAGCCCCTCACTGCAGAACAAAGGTCCAGGGGGCGGGGTTGGATCCACATCTAGGGGGTGGAGATGGTAGGTTTAGGGGTGGAGATGGGTGGGTTTAGGGATCAGGGGGTGGAGACGGGTAGGTTTAGGTATATGTATGGTGGGAGGAGTTAGATCTGGATCCAACCTCGCCCCCTGGATCTTGTGTTCTGCACTGAGGACCATCTCAAAGACAGCGCTGCTCGGTGCATCTGTTGGCTGCCTAAGGGCTATGTTCCAGTTCACTTTTTTTCATGCCCTTCACTCGCTAACTTCCCTCCATCTAGTTTACTCGGATGTACGTCATTGATTACGTTGCATGAGTGCCCACCTGAGGACCATCTCAAAGACAGCGCTGCTCGGTGCATCTGTTGGCTGCCTAAGGGCTATGTTCCAGTTCACTTTTTTTCATGCCCTTCACTCGCTAACTTCCCTCCATCTAGTTTACTCGGATGTACGTCATTGATTACGTTGCATGAGTGCCCGCTACTGGCGGAACCCTTGGAATGGGCTGAACTGGAACGTCCTAAGCCCTTGATCACTTAGAATCCGCTATGGAGTTGGTTTATTGTTTACATGTTTCCCCTTACGAATTTGTTTGGTGCAGCATTCTACAGGTGCATCTCAATAAATTAGAATGTCGTGGAAAAGTTCATTTATTTCAGTAATTCAACTCAAATTGTGAAACTCGTGTATTAAAGAAATTCAATGCACACAGACTGAAGTAGTTTAAGTCTTTGGTTCTTTTAATTGTGATGATTTTGGCTCACATTTAACAAAAACCCACCAATTCACTATCTCAACAAATTAGAATATGGTGACATGCCAATCAGCTAATCAACTCAAAACACCTGCAAAGGTTTCCTGAGCCTTCAAAATGGTCTCTCAGTTTGGTTCACTGGGCTACACAATCATGGGGAAGACTGCTGATCTGACAGTTGTCCAGAAGACAATCACTGACACCCTTCACAAGGAGGGTAAGCCACAAACATTCATTGCCAAAGAAGCTGGATGTTCACAGAGTGCTGTATCCAAGCATGTTAAAAGAAAGTTGAGTGGAAGGAAAAAGTGTGGAAGAAAAAGATGCACAACCAACCGAGAGAACCGCAGCCTTATGAGGATTGTCAAGCAAAATCGATTCAAGAATTTGAGTGAACGTCACAAGGAATGGACTGAGGCTGGGGTCAAGGCATCAAGAGCCACCACACACAGACGTGTCAAGGAATTTGGCTACAGTTGTCGTATTCCTCTTGTTAAGCCACTCCTGAACCACAGACAACGTCAGAGGCGTCTTACCTGGGCTAAGGAGAAGAAGAACTGGACTGTTGCCCAGTGGTCCAAAGTCCTCTTTTCAGATGAGAGCAAGTTTTGTATTTCATTTGGAAACCAAGGTCCTAGAGTCTGGAGGAAGGGTGGAGAAGCTCATAGCCCAAGTTGCTTGAAGTCCAATGTTAAGTTTCCACAGTCTGTGATGATTTGGGGTGCAATGTCATCTGCTGGTGTTGGTCCATTGTGTTTTTTGAAAACCAACGTCACTGCACCCGTTTACCAAGAAATTTTGGAGCACTTCATGCTTCCTTCTGCTGACCAGCTTTTTGAAGATGCTGATTTCATTTTCCAGCAGGATTTGGCACCTGCCCACACTGCCAAAAGCACCAAAAGTTGGTTAAATGACCATGGTGTTGGTGTGCTTGACTGGCCAGCAAACTCACCAGACCTGAACCCCATAGAGAATCTATGGGGTATTGTCAAGAGGAAAATGAGAAACAAGAGACCAAAAAATGCAGATGAGCTGAAGGCCGCTGTCAAAGAAACCTGGGCTTCCATACCACCTCAGCAGTGCCACAAACTGATCACCTCCATGCCACGCCGAATTGAGGCAGTAATTAAAGTAAAAGGAACCCCTACCAAGTATTGAGTACATGTACAGTAAATGAACATACTTTCCAGAAGGCCAACAATTCAATAAAA